GAGGAATTACAGAAGAAGGTAGCCGAGGGCTCCGGGGAACCCATCATCCAGCTCCGGACCCGGACGCCATTCACCCCAAGGGTATTGGCGGCCCAAATCCCGGAAAAGTATCGAGGGCAACTCATCAAGCCCTATGAAGGAAAAACTGACCCCCAGGAGCACTACAACAGGTATCAAAACAGCATGATGATAATGGGGGCATCAGATGAATACTTATGTCGTTGGTTCCTTTCCACCTTGGAGGGACCAGCATACGAATGGTTCAATCGATTGCCCGAGGGCAGCATTGACTCTTGGCAAGATCTTGCCCAACGCTTCCTCACCCATTTCGGCGGAAGGAAGCGCGCGAGAAAGCAATTCTCCCAGCTCCTCTCCGTCAAGCAACAGCCTGACGAAACACTTCGGTCCTTCATTGACCGGTGGATGAAGGAGACAGACGAGGTCGAGGGCGCCGAAGAGCGTACCCTCCTCGTCCTCTTCCAGGGGGTTCTCCGCAGCAGCCCCTACGCACGGAGCCTCATCACCGACCCCCCAAGATCATACCTCAGAGCACTCCAGCGGGGGAGCCTATACGCCGACGCCGACGACCTCCACTCCTTCAAGAAGAACGAGGGCCAGCCCTCGAAGAAGATAAACAACACGCCGTCCCCAAATGTGCCCTCGGCCGGAGGCCGAGACCATGGAAGCCACACCCAGCAGGGCCGTAACGAACGCCAATGGCGCCCTCGGCTGGACATGCCGAGGACTCCCCTCACGCACCCGGTGAGCACTATCCTCAACTATGCGGAAGAGCAGGACCTTTTCCCCAAGGACCCTCGGTCGGCGAGGGAGATCTACGCCATCCACCAAGGCGGCACTTATTGCCGTTACCACAAAAGCACCTCCCACAATACAGATGATTGTGTCTCGTTAAAGAAGGCTATTGAACTCTTAATTCAACGGGGTGAGCTCCACCAATTCATAAAAAATGCCCCAAGGAAAAACACCAGGGAGAACACCGATAAAGAAGAAGGGGACATCGCAATGAAGAAACATGAAATCGAGAGGCTCAGCGACGGCGAGGAGTTCGAGGAGCCCCAGCCGAAGAAGCGCCACCTCCGTTAATCATGTTCCTCGCCTTCGGCGTTAGTCTCAGCCATGGTCCCTCGACCTCGAGGCACATTATCATCCCCTCGGTCTAGAGCCCTCGGCCTTGAGTGGTGAATCTTAACAAAGCCGTTGTCAAACAACGCACCCCTTGTATTCCGCTTATTTCTATGAATTTAAGTAAACTACAACACAATCCAGACATCTTATCGGCCCCTTCGAGGCCAAATGCCCAGGTATGGTCGATGGTGTCTAAAGACGAGGGGCCTGTAAAAGGCCCGCGTTTTTGGAGCGGGACGCTCTCCGCGTCGCCGGCGCGCAACGCACGGCGACAAGCCTGAAAGAATGGCTGAGGTGACGAAATCCCCAAACTTGGGGGTGAAACGGCAGTCGTCGAAAACCGACCAAGCCTAGCCCGTGCCGTAAATAGACGACGGGTACCCCCAAGGTCAAGGGACGGTTCAGCGTCGGGGGACTAACAGACGAACCCCCGGACGGATCACTTGGACCCCCTTCCGGCCGAGGCGGGGAAGCAACCCCCTCGGCCGAAGCCTGAAAGAAGGAACACACATCAGGAGGACTAACATACGACCTCCTGGAACAATCAAGGGACGGCCCAGCGCCGGGGGACTAACAGACGAACCCCCAGACGGATCACTTGGACCCCCTTTCGGCCGAGGCGGGGAATCAACCCCTCGGTCGATGCCTGAAAGAAGGAACATACACCCAGAGGACTCCTGGAACTATCAAGGAAAGGCCATTGGCCTCAATTCGATTCTACATCACCAATGGCCCTCGGCCTTGGCATGATTCCACGTCACCAACGGCCCTCAGCCTCAACATCAGACGGCCCTCGGCCTCAACATGACTCTATGTCATAATGGTTTTTGCCTTACATGATTTCACATCACCAAAGGCCCTCGACCTCAACGTGATTCAACATCAACAACGGCCCTCGGCCTCAGCGTGATTCCACATCACAATGGCCCTCGGCCTCAACATCATACGGCCCTCGGCCTCAACATGACTCTATGTCATAACAGTTTTTGCCTTACATGATTTCACATCACCAAAGGCCCTCGGCCTCAACATGAGGATGACCCTCGGCCTCAACATCAACAACGGTCCTCGGCCTCAGCGTGAGGACATCACAATGGCCCTCGGCCTCAACATCAGACGGCCCTCGGCCTCAACATCAACAACGTCCCTCGGCCTCAGCGTGAGGACATCACAATGGCCCTCAGCCTCAACATCAGACGGCCCTCGGCCTCAACATGACCCTATGTCATAATGGTTTTGGCCTTAGCGTGATCTCACATCACCAACGGCCCTCGGCCTCAGCATGATTCCACATCACAACGGCCCTCAGCCTTCATCCCTCCGACATCTTTATTTGATGTCGGGGGCTATCATACAGGCCCATCGGCCTTCATCCCTCCGGCATCTTTATTTGATGTCGGGGGCAATCACACAGGTCCCTCGGCCTTCATCCCTCCGGCATCTTTATTTGATGCCAGAGGCTATCATACAGGCCCATCGGCCTTCATCCCTCCGACATCTTTATTTGATGTCGGGGGCAATCACACAGGTCCCTCGGCCTTCATCCCTCTGGCATCTTTATTTGATGTCAGGGGCTGTCATACAGGCCCCTCAGCCTAGCTTTCATCCCTTCGACATCTTTATTTGATGCCAGGGGCTATCATACAGGCCCTCGGCCTTCACCCCTCCGGCATATTTATTTGATGTCGGGGGCAATCACACAGGCCCCTCGGTCTCCATCCCGCCGGCATCTGTATTTGATGCCAGGGGCTCTCACACAGGCCCACCTGGCCTTGCACCCCTCCGTCACCTTTATTTGATAACGGGGGGTCCTTACAAGCTCCTCAGCTTTTTAATGCAGGATCTAAGGCTGGTCTTCGATATCCCCTCAGCAGACGGACACAACCACCGCTCAAAAATCTGGGCCGAAGGGTGCATTCCTTTTGCTTCATTCTGGGGGCATCCGGTGTACTCTTTTTCCCTCATTAGGAATTTTTTCCCACAGGGTTTTTTCCTAATGAGGTTTTTAACGAGGCATCTCCCCATTGTGGAACAAAAGGCGTCGCCCCTCGGCGGCTCCTGCTGAAGGCATGCATCACTCTACTCCTGTTTCCCTCGAGAAACTCTCGGCAAATGTTAAAAATTTTCTATTTCTCAGCTACAGCAAACTGAGGCAAGATCACAACGGCAATCTACTCCCCTCGACATGATGCTTTCGGCTTACAGAATGCCTCCGGCCACACAATGCCTTCGGCCACATGATGCCTCCGGCCACACAATGCCTTCGGCCATATGATGCCTTCGGCCACATGATGCCTTCGGCCACACAATGCCTTCGGCCACATGATCCCTCCTACCACACAATGCCTTCGGCCACATGATGCCTTCGGCCACATGATGCCTTCGGCCACATGATGCCTTCGGTCACATGATGCCTCCGGTCACATGATGCCTTCGGCCACACAAAGCCTTCAGTCCACAAATGCCCTCGGCAAAGCACACAAATGCAGATCTCTCATTACTTTACAAATTACAACAAAGAAACACATACGAGCAACACACTTACACTCCCTTCAGGAAGCTCTCAGCCCTCGACATATGGGGGAATTGAGAAAATGAGGCACCCAACAGAACAGGGAAGCCTTCGGGGAAATCACCACAGCTACTCCTTTTCCCTCAAGTACCTTTCGGCAAAAGGAGTGGGGGACTCCTGATGGAGTATATGGCCCAGGGACCCCCGGCCCACATACTTCCTCTACTACAATCAGGCCCAATAGGCCCAAACGGGCCAAGCCCAGCAAAATGGAGCTCTAAGCAGCCCACAATACGCAAAGGGGTGCCTTCGGCTTTATGGCCGAAGGCTACCAGTGACGGAATCGAGCTTAGAAACATCACAGGAGAACAAGGCTTGAAAACCAAGCCTTTGGCAACTGCAGCCCTCAGCAGGTAGGAGCCCTCGGTTAGAAGAGGCATCACAGGAGCACAAGGCTTGAAAACCAAGCCTTCGGCAACTGCAGCCCTCGGCAGGTAGGAGCCCTCGGTTAGAAGAGCTTTCGGCCCAGCACCCTTCAGCCGAAGGCATCCACCTCGACAGAATATCCTCTTCACATGCGCCTGGATCACCGTACCAAGTACAAACGTCACATCCAACCACCGCATTTAATGCGGCCACATGCGAGTGTCAGTGCCACCCCGGTCGAGGTGACCCCTCGACCACCAGAAAACTGACACGTGTCCTTATCTAGCATTTATTACTGCTATAAATAGCACCCCTTTCCCCCATTGTAAACCACGCTTAATACATATCGAATATACACTCTCTCTCTTACTTGTTTGCTCTGACTTCTCTCTAGTTATTCTCCGCAATAACCCCTCGGATAAGCTACCCCCCGGGTACACTATCCATCAATATTATAATGTTCTTTGTTAAAAGCACTTTCATAAAAGTATAAAAATTATAATTTCCATAATATTATACTAATGAAAATCAATGTTTAAATTTTTTGAAATGGCAAAGTTTTTTGGGACGGAGGTAATAATATTTATGCCATTTTTTCTATTCCTATTCAGCACAATTTACGAAATACGGAGTAAGATACTATCGTACATACTACATACTTCCTCCATCTCTTTTTAGTTGCAACAATCAACATTTCACGTTTGCCAACGCACAACTTTGACCGTCATTATATTTAATTCTGTATTAGTAAAAATAAAATAAAAATTAGATTATAAAACTTAGTAATGAAACGAATTTAACAACATTTTTCAAAAAAAATAATTCGCATACATTAATAAATAAAATGTAGTCAAAGTAAATTACATGAATAGTGTATATATTTTAATGTTGCAATTAATGAGATACGGGATAGTACCTTGCTAGATTTGAGACCGTTCTTCATAATTCCGGGGGTCGGATCCGGGTTTCTAGTTGTACCCGGCTTGTTTGCCGCGGCATGAAGATTATTTTCCATGCACAGCCGCATGATTTTCTCGACGGCCTCCCCTCTGTCGTGGTCACTTTGCATTACCAACTTTTCCAGCTCAGCCTTGTGCATCCGTAACTTCACCCGCACACCGCCGTCTTCCGACTGCATCACAGCCGCCGGTGACGACTTTGCAGACAAGATATGTGACGCTGACCTGGTGCGAGCCAGCATTAGGCTCTCGAGTCGGTCTTTGGCGCTCATTTGGATCCCCGATGATCGGCCCCTCCTCGGGAATACCTCCTGCGCCGCCGTGTTTGGCGGGGGCTCAACCAGAAAGTAGAGCCGTTCGGGCTTTAGCTCTTGCTTAGGCTCTAACGGCTTGGCTCGAATCCCGAGATTCTTTACTGATTCTGAATCTAGCAAAATGTGGCCGGAATATTGCTTAATCACTTCGCCTGCGTTCACCGGAGTCTTGAATTGTATAGTCCGTCCGTCTACTCTCATCACCTTAGCTGCCCTTTTTCCCAGTAAACAATTTCCCATTTCTCGAACTGTTAGTGTGAGTGCATATTAATTCTCTCTAGCATGAAATATACTCCGTACATATATAGCGCCCTTTACATTAATTTTTCAAACAAAAGACTTAAATGATTTTGTCAAACCTCAAAGTATTTTGACATTGTACATATATGAGGGTTTCTTATGAGGTGACAACTCTGGTACCTTTCTAAAAAAATGGGGTACCGTACTTATCATTAATTTGATTGGACCATATCACTTTATCATTTTTAATTTAGATTTAAATAATTCAACTGTTACATTCTCATTGGTCCATGTGGATAAAGGCATGGTACCTTATGGGTACCATAGAATCTACCTTCTTATAAATTATATTCTCTCCCTCCCTTAATTAACTTGACATTCAACATTTCAGGTTGAAGACATTCAAAATTATTTGACCATTCATATGTAGAAATATATACATATAAAACTTTTAATAAACCAACATTTCAGTAATATTTATTAAAATAAAACATTCAAAATTATTTTGATATTATAAAATAATACGGTTTTTGAGTAATTAATTGTCAAAGCTTACAAAGTTTGACTCAAAAAGTCAAAGTGTAAATTTAAATAAGCAAGTTTTCAAAGTCAAATAAATTAGATCATGTTAGACTATAATTGATCACGTTAGATCAGACTTCTGTCAGAATATACCAGTTAAGAATAGATCACACCAGTGACTAGATCAACAAAAATTGAGTCCAATTAAAAATAATAACTCGTACATTCAAAAATCAAAATGTGTGTTTTTTATTTTTGCTTTTCAAAAAGCGAAAGGGAACAAAGGACCTGAACGAGAGAAGTCCACAACATTAATCACGTAACCACATACAGCCATATAGGTATTAGACTATTAGGTACCATCAGAGAAGACCCGTTGTTTGAGTCTTTACACGGTAATTTAATGAAGTCGTTGTAAAGTGCAGGATACCACCGGAATTAATGTACAAAGAAAGACTAGGATATCACTTCTAGAGTTTCAATTTACAAAAGTATGACCAAATTTCATGTGAAAAAAAAACATATTAAAATTAGAATGAATAGATAGAAATATCCTCAACCTTAATTACCCATCCGAGTAGCGCACGACATTTCTTATGCTCAACAATTCATCGAGGACCTGCTCTTCTCTCATGCTCTGCCTGTTTGCTTTAACCACAGTAGCGGCACCACCACCGGCGGCATGCACCGTCTGCGACGTCAGGAGGAGGATTGTCGGCGTCTCCCTCATCATCGTTGCGGCCTATGCCCTCTTCGTCGCTTATGTTGCGTCTTCGATGGCGTCAACGCCGCCCTCGCTTGTTTTCTTCTTCTCTTACTCTTCCTCTCTGTTACACGAGCGATTGCGGACGGTGAAGATATAATAATGACGGAGATAGAGTCATTCATTCGTTGATGGCGACTTTGGAAAGGATTTGTTGGCGGTTGAAGGTTGTGTGAACATATCGGGGGTGGGGCGGAACAAGGGCGGTCCTTAATGGAGCGCCGCCAGTGCTAAATCAGCCATCCTTGTCTCCTTGATGAACGACGACTCTGGTCGCCGCGGCTGACGAAGGTGAAACGAGGGTTTCGTGGAGGTGCGGTGGTGGTATGGTAGGCATTTGGGCAAATTGCCGAAGAAGGGGTTGAGGGCGGTGGAGGGGAGCAGGGTAGAGAGACTAAGACAAGGAGTGGGTGTTGGGGGCTGGGAAGCAGGTGCGTAGGGCTATGGGAAGGGGCGGGTCGTCGGGGCAGCGATGGTGGTCGGAGGCTGTGACAGTTGAGGGCTGGTTGCGGTGTATGGCGGTGATGGTCACTTTCGTTGCGTCACTCCAGCGGTGTCACGGTGGTCGGAGTAGCTGTGTCACTGCGGCCGGAGTAGTCGTGTAACCGTGGCCGGAGTAACTGTGTCACTGTGACAGGAGTAACATGTACTCGTGTCACTATGACCGGAGTAACTGTGTCATTGTGACCAGAGTAACGTGTAATCGTGTCACTATGGCCGGAGTAACCTGTAACTAAGTGACTATGACCGGAGTAATCGTGTCGTTGTGGTCGGAGTAAGTGTGTCACTATGTCCGAAGTCAATATGTCATTATACGTATGTAACTGTTATTGTAGGGATATAAGTGTGATGTTAGTCATATTTTTGGGATTTATAAAAAAGGTCACTTTTTGTGCATCAACTACTTTTTAGTAATATTCAAGTCAAAACCACATTAATGTATTCTTCTAACCACTTGAGGTTTTTCCAAACATATGTAGTTTCCAATCTGACGCGTATTGAACCCACAACCTCACGCACCATTAAAGCATCTTCAATGGTACAATGTGCATAGTGCATATGTAACACGATAGATAACCACATAAATATTAATAAAAAAATTATGTATCTCTTTATTTGAATGCTTATATACAATTTTGGTAAGTTTTTCTCCACAATATCAAGAAAACCGTCTAGATATAGACATTGTGATTAACATTGTTAAGATAAACTGGTGAGCACAGAAAAAATTGTTGAGCAAAAAAATTGTAAAAATTGTTTGTATATAGACAACTAAATGTCAGTGCACAGACATCTAGTCTTCTGTACATGGATGAATTATATATATTTTTGTCAGTGCTTAACATTGAAAAAAAACAATGTTTGTATACACAGACAAAATTCCGGTTAATGTTCATGTATAATTTCCCGGTGGCTGTAATTTTGGCGACTTAAACGTTTTGTTCCCAACCGACCCTAAAAGATGATAATGGTAAAGATGATGAGGTGATGGAGCGGCGGAGGTACATAGAGGGATAAATATAAATAATCAGAAAGGTTCGGGTTAGAATTACCTTATAGAAGCCTCAATTTGAGATTCTTCCGGGCAGAATTTTTTTATGAAATTTTGTGAGCATATTTTTCATAAAGATTAAATAGTTTCCACCCAATTTTAGCTTAAAATTCAAAAGGAAAGTGAATTAAATAAATTATGAAAAAACACTGTGTTGTTATATATATATATATATATATATATATATATATATATATATATATATATATATATATAAGAGATCAAATACAAACCATGCTTAAAATACTAACCTACAAACTCCATAATATGCATCACTTTGAACTTCAATATGCAGTAAAAATAATGTAAAGATGCAGGGGTGAGATCACATACAAACTAGTCCTCCCATTCAAATCATCTTTGCATTATTTGTATCGCACATTGAAGTTCAAAGTGTTTCATATTATTCAAGCCATAAAATAGCAATTTCATGTTTACATTATTTGTATTGCATATTGAAATTCAAAGAGCGCATCTTTACATTATTTGTACTACATATTAAAGTTCAAAGTGTTGCATATTATTGAGTTTGTAGGTTAGTAAGTTAAGCATGGTTTGTATGTGATCTCACATTATTTGTAAGTTAAGCATGCACATATATACACATACATATATATATGTATATATATATACATATATATATATACATATATATACATATATATATATATACATATATATATATATACACATATATATATATATATACATATATATATATATACATATATATATATATACATATATATATATACATATATATATATACATATATATATATACATATATATACATATATATATATACATATATATATATATACATATATATATATATACATATATATATATATATACATATATATATATACATATATATATATATATATATATGGGTGAGTTCTAATACAAAGGGGTCTTCCCATGAAAAGTGAGAAGTGATCTAAACCCTTGATCACTTCAAAATGAATGGAGTGGATCAAAACTCACGGTAAACCAAAATGTGTAATACATAATAGTAAAAGTGCATATGCCATATCTAAGAGTGCATATTCACCTCCTAAAAAATAACACAAACGATTTCTATACTTGTTGTTTTCCACCCCGAAAAGTGATGCACTTTTGTGTTACTCCAATGCACTTTTTCTCCATACTCATGCACATTTGTCATTTGCACTATTGGCACTGAATTTGTTAATATTACACTATTGGCACCGAATTTTCCACTCTAAAATTGATCTGATTCATTCATTTTCTTATTTTAACGGCTAAGATTACTTCTCATTTTTCATATAATTAGTACTTTGTATTTGAACCTCCCTCTATATATATATAGGGTCGGGTTCTAATGAGAAGACATCTTAACGTGAGAAGTGAGAAGTTACACATTTACCTATTCCTGATGCACTTTTTTGTTAATCTGATGCACATTTTGCGATGTCAGAAAAAGTTCCGATTAATTACGGAAATGCCACCGCGTCTAGCATTATTTTTTAAATATTTTTTGCACTTTCCCGTGCACTTTTTTGCTAATCTGATGCACATATCTTAAATTGAACGCACCAGATGCATTCTCACTTCTTACGATAAGCACTCTTCTCATTTGATCCTTATTCAATATATATATATATATATATATATATATATATATATATATCAAGTGAGAAAGACATCTTAGGAGAGAAATGAGAATGAACTACAACCCTTAGATTTGTCATTTTTTATATTTCCGTTTTTTCCTGCTAAAGGGTAAATAAGAGATTTATCTATCTGGTCAATATAAAACGATTCTTTCCTTAGTTGGCAAACCTGGCATCCTTAAATATCATTTTTCTTTATTATTATATTGATTGACGGTTACTTATTTGACGACCTCTACCATTTTTCCTTTGCTTTATAGATTTCTTAATCACTTTATGCATTTTTGTTGCTCTCAACCGAAAAAATGATTTGGCTGAGGCTACAGTAACGAAAAACAATACACACAAGAAACTATATGTGTTTGGCCATGGCGGACATGCATACCATAATTGGAAATTATGCACTAAAATGTTTTGAAAAGTGCAATACCAAAATATGGAAATATAAAATCCTGAAAAAAGTATCACATAGTACGTAGTATACAAGATTGCACCACCCTTAAATGATTCACTTCTTTTTTGAAGCATTAGGTCCTGG